TTCTGTCATGCAAGCTGAGTCATGTATCCAAGTTGAATGAATAAAAATTGATATTGATTTGAATAGCCTCATATAGTATCCTTATATCCATTTTAAGTGTATTATTGTAGAAAATGTCCAAAGGTATTCAAATGGAGACTCGAAGACGCTCATGCTAGTCCAAATTTCACCAGCAGAGATGGACTGCTCCGAGACAGCGTGCAGTCTCATGTTCACACACTGAGCAAGAACGATAGAGCTTGGACAAGCAACCAGCAAGAAGTGCAAGTTGAAGGACTGGGTAAGGGAATGGTAGTTAATATTTCACAGTCAGAAAAGGACGCCTCCGAGACCATGAGCAGTCTTTTCTTCACGGAAAGGGCTCGAAGCGTAGAACTTGGCCAAGCCACCACCAAAAACTTTCTAACTACTTTACTTCCATCCAGCCATGGAGGTGTCTTTCCTTATCTGTTAAATCATATCGACATGCTTCATATTTCTGTGTGCCTTCCAGCTCCCTTTATTCCGATGTACTTAGCAGCATGTTCTCTTTTGGATGCAAATGGATTTCTAATAGTGTCATGTGCACTTGTAAATATGTGCCTTACAGGAACTCAAAACTCACTTATCTTTTGCAAGAATCACTTGGTAAGACGCTTCTGCAGGTGGAGACTTGAAGACGCTCAACTTGGTGCAAGTTTCACTGTCAGAAAAGAACGCACCCAAGACAAAACAGGACAAGAAAAAATTATTCTTAATTTCATTTTCCTTCTTTTCTTTTAATACTATTTGCTTTGGTTTCATAAAGTTTTTTTTAGTTTGAGATATTTATATGCTTTAATTCTGTCATACAAGCTGAGTCATGTATCCAAGTTGAATGAATAAAAATTGATATTGATTTGAATAGCCTCATATATTATCCTTCTATCCATTTTAAGTGTATTATGCTGGATGAGCCGTCCTCCAATGGCTGCCACATACATTCCCTTGTAAAGTAACACTGTATTGAAATGCTTATATTTTTGCTMCAAAATCCCAGTTGAACTTAATTCTTTCCAATTCCATCGCTCATAATTCTGTTAAAAAGTATTATTTTCGCTCAAAATTTCATAATGATTCTCACTTTAGATGTTCTCTTGAGGACAATAATAACACTTCTCTAATTTAACCTCTATAATAGCTTTTTTTTAGAATATCACGTGATCAGTTAAAACCAAGAATAGGAATAGAGAAAAAATGAAAAAAATACAATACTTTATTTAATAAACTATCACTTCACTTTGATAGTTGAAATTTTAAACTTTAATGTCATGATAATTTTAAAATGACGATTACGATTTTTAAATGTAGTATATTTTAAAATTGTTATGCTCATTGCTGCTCAAAAGACCTTAATGTCATGATAAAATTATCTCGACTCTTGGTGCATCACTTTTTCAACCCAACAGTTGAAGACAATAATTATAACATTTCAAACCAAGAATATGAACGTCAGAGAAAAAATGAAAAAATTTAACTATCACTTTACTTTGATAGTTGAAATTGTAAACTTTAATGTGATGAAATTATCTCGATTCTTTTAGTATCACTTGTTCAACAGTTGCAACCCAACATGACGTCACAGCAATTTCCCAATAAATTTTGAATAATTGACCCTTAAGGTCTAGTTCGCACTGCATGGCCAAACAAAATGTGTTTGCCTGACAAAAATTATTTCGAACAAAAATTGTTTGTCTAGTTGTGTTCGCACTACAAGCTAAGAAATTTTGGATTATCAAAAAATATGTCAATCAAAATAGAAATACGACTCCACTGTTGAGTGCTTTTTCACAGCAAAAAAGTTTTGGAACCAAACCGACTGCTTACATTTGTAAAATCAAATGCGAGCACATTTCTCTTTAAAGCTGATTTTTAACATTCAACAACAAATCCTACTACTTTTTATAGGACTGCTTAGAATAAATCATATTGCACTAAACCGAAACGTGGTAGATAGAAATTCTCGATGTCGCCAAAGATTTTAGCCGTACTGGATGCTACCACGACCTCAAAATTCTTGGTTCGAGATCCACGATAATGATTGGAATATTCGCAAAGACTACTTTTGCCGTCAAATGAGAATGGGAAGAAATACTTTCGACGTTCTTCGTCCCGYGTATATTAAACGGGAAGATACAAGTCTGATACTCATGCTTGAATCGTGTGAATGACTCGCTGAGTTCAATGGCAATAACGCGAAGTAGAATTGCTGAATGATATAATAGTTGACAGTTTTGACATTTGACAAAAATTTGACCAGCTTTAGAGCAGGCCAACGGCGTCTTTGAAGTTTAGTAGCCGAGACAAAATTTATGAACTAGAAAACTYGTTCGCATTTGTAAGATTTTTTTGCAAAACAGACACAAAATTAGCCTAGTGCGAACAGGCAGGCGGCTAAAATGATCAATTTGATTGGGACGTAATGATTTTTCCCATTTCAACCCCGACAGTTAGTGGGCTGGAAGGAAGACATGCCTCGAGTAAAGCGGCGAATATTGAGTTAGTCGCGGTATCGACACAATACAGAACATCTGATAATTATTTTCTGATATTATCCTCTATTTATATTGATATTGATATTGATATTATCGTATACAGCCTTTTGCAAAAATTATGAGAATTGTCTAAATATCTAAATATCATAATATCCATATCCATATATTGTCCGGAACACGCGGGTTTGCTAGAATAATTCATTGTTGACATCGAGAAAATGTTCAGAACTACGGATAAGTCTGTCGCCAAAAAAAAACTAAACTACAAAGACAAGGGACTAAGGGCATCGCGCGAGACTACCCATCGTACACTCGATATTATGATATTTAGATATTTCAACAATTCTCATAATTTTTGCAAAAGGCTGTAATATCAATAATTACATCTATTAGAGAGTCACTAGATCAGTCCTCTCTTACTGTCTGAACCGCTTGATATTGCGATATTATCGGATAATATCAATAATTACATCTAATAGAAAGTCACTAGATCAGTCCTCTCTTACTATCTGAACACCTTGATATTGTGATATTATTGGATAATATCCAAAAAACCTAGTTAACTGACTGTATTTCTAGATATCCGATATTTATCTGATATTATAACACTATAGATATTATCGATATTTTTAAGGTTTGTTATCGATGTTGACGAAATTAGATAAACTTACGAGGAAAATATCGACGTAACTGTCGGATAAACGATATTCTGTTGATACCGCGCCTAAATGCGAATATTCAGAACTCTTTGTACATGTCATTCGCACATTATATAAACTTATGTCATTTACACTTATATTTCTTTATAAGTTTGAATTGTGGAACTAATTTCTACTTACTTCGCAACAGTAGCGTATGTAACTTGCTGTCTGATAACCTTCGACAAGCTTAAGATGGACTCTTTACCACTTGAAATTTGCCATGTTGGTCGAGAAAAAAATGTTTCTTTGCATTCCTTCAAGATAAAGCGTCTCCTTAACAACCTGTTGTGATGAATACATAGAGAAAGTTATTTTCATTTGAGTTTACCGTACCCTTCCAAGGCAAAGCAAATGCAAAAACTGCGGACAGTTTTCTTACCTTGAATAGAGCGTATAAACGTCCTAGGTTTAGGTCATGTTAATTTGTGGTTATTCTTTTTCCGTTTCGTGAAATAATGAAGCTTTTTCCTAGCCTAAACCACATCGTAGAAGCTGACCAGGCAGAAAGACGAACTAACTGACGAAGGTGTCGAGCAGAGACCGCATTGCAACGGATGATAGTGATTGGCTAATGCTAAAAACTAGACAGGGCGTGCATACCATCGGTGCACGTGACGCCGCCCCACGAAACAGAAAAAAATGGGAATGAGAAAAATGCATTTGTGCTGACCTTGGCGATGGGGAAAACTACCTCTTTATTGCAGAGTTTTTGAGTCACTTAGTTTTAATTTATCATTCAGGAATGAATTACTTTTACCAAATACAAATCCGCAATTAGTCAAATAAAAAAATAAATCGTGAATATAGATACGAAAAAAAGTCATCAAATTGTTCCCAATCGACTGAGACAAAAAAACAACTTGATATCCCGATCCTGGACAAGAGTTGTACGTATTTCATCGCTATAAGTTTAGACCGATCGGAATTTTATTTTGTGAGTACGGCGCCAAAATGTGAAATTCGACGTCATTTCCGGTTTTGAGACGCTATTTGATGATACTCCAAAATTGCTTTGAAATCTTCATCTCTTGAAAAGTAAAATGACAAGACTATAAAAAGAGGATATGACTGCGCTTATTTTGAGCTCTTATACATAACAATAGTTTAAAATCGTAATATTTTATTGATTAGTTTTATTGATTTTATTGAATAGTGAGTACGAATTAACAAGGTTTTACTTTTACGAACATCATATTCAATCGTATATATCTACACTGGTATAACTTAGCTAAAAACTATTGCCACACGTTGGAAGAAATGCTCCTATATTTTTGTTTTATCAAATAACATTTTTGGGAAATTCATAAACAAAGGTCTGAGCAATCAATATCAACCACATGACCAGGAATCCCCTGAGAAATAAATAGAACAAAGCTATCGCCGCCATGTTGGATGAATGAACAAGAGAAACTAATGAGGAATGCTTTGTGATTTTCATCCAACATGGCGGTGATGACGTAACCTCCACACCAAGATCTACTTACACTTTTAGCTGATTCTACCAAAGTGTTTTCTTTGAAGCGACTTTTGTATCCACAATTTAAGCTCAGATGAACAACGGCGGTCATCCTGCCCATCGCTAGAAACAACTAAGTTCCAGAAATGAAAAATATCANTGATGAATACATAGAGAAAGTTATTTTCATTTGAGTTTACCGTACCCTTCCAAGGCAAAGCAAATGCAAAAACTGCGGACAGTTTTCTTACCTTGAATAGAGCGTATAAACGTCCTAGGTTTAGGTCATGTTAATTTGTGGTTATTCTTTTTCCGTTTCGTGAAATAATGAAGCTTTTTCCTAGCCTAAAACACATCGTAGAAGCTGGAAATCTGGAAATTCGATGACCAGGCAGCAAGACTGAATTGACGAAGTCGTCGAGCAAAGACCGCATGGCAACGGATGATAGTGATTGGCTAATGCTAAAAACTAGACAGGGCGTGCATCGGCGTGCATACCATCGGTGCACGTGACGCCGCCCAACAAAAACAGAAAAAAAGAATAGAAGGAAATTATAATAAAACTGGGAATACAAATCCCAAATAAATCGTGAATATAGATACGAAAAAGCATCAAATTGTTCCCAATCGACTGAGACAAAAAAAAACAACAACTTGATATCCCGATCCTGGACAAGAGTTGTACGTATTTCATCGCTATAAGTTTTAGACCGATCGGAATTTTATTTTGTGAGTACGGCGCCAAAATGTGAAATTCGACGTCATTTCCGGTTTTGAGACGCTGTTTGATGATACTCCAAAATTGCTTTGAAATCTTCATCTCTTGACAACTAAAATTACTAGACTAAAAGAGGATATGACTGCGCTTATTTTGAGCTCTTACACATAACAATAGTTCAAAATCGTAATATTTTATTGATTTTTCAAAAGTGAGTACGAATTAACAAGGTTTTACTTTTACGAACATCGTATTCAATCGCATATATCTACACTGGTATATGGCTTAACTCAAAACTATTGCCACACGTTGGAAGAAATGCTCCTATATTTTTGTTTTATCAAATAACATTTTTGGGAAATTCATAAACAAAGGTCTGAGAGCAATCAATATCAACCTTATTTGGCCTTATAATTACGCATTGGGTGTATTTCCTCACCAAAATAGTTCTATAAGCTTGGGATTTATAAATACATATCCTAAACGTATAATACTCTACTTACACTTTTAGCTGATTGTACCGAAATGTTTTCTTTGAAGCGACTTTTGTATCCACAAATGATGAACAACGGCGGTTATCCTGCCCATCGCTAGAAACAACTCAGATCCAGAAATGACAAATATCAATCCTCCAAAGTAAATTTCAGTCATCGTACAAGTATATTTTTCTTATCTTTCACCGTTATTTCAACGTTTTAAATAAATGTGACTTCTTATAGAAAGTCTCAAGAAAAACATCTCGTACGGAAAAACAACACTCAAATGACAATGAGAATGCGTGACATGACACAGGAACTCCGCACAAATTTTAAGAAAAGTTCTAAATGCCTTTGAAAATACCTCATTTTTGTTTGAGAAAAGATTTGCAGCTTGAATAAGAAATAAGACTTGTTTAATTCCTTTGTGTTTTATATAATAAATAAGCACCCACCCAGCTGACCGGCACCAAACTGTTAATAAGTCGTGCCCCCCAGGCGTGCCAGTCAGTGACTGGACAATAGTTTATGCACACAGGTAACAATAGCRATAAATGACTCAAAATGTCTCAATATGACCTGACACTCCACAGGAATACAAAGAAAACCACAAWACATAGATAAAAATGTTTAGAGTTTATTAAACTTAACATATTCCACAAAATTATTAAACGGTAAACCTGTGGTTTACACAATATAGAAATGAAAGAAAGTTATAGTGCTGTACCTGTGGTTTACTTTGGCTCGATAGGGTTCCTTTTTCGAAGCTCCAAGTCTGGGATAGGGTATCATTTTTTGCCAATTTATCCGGGAATAGGGTAGTCTTTTTGTCTGGGATAGGGTAGTAGTTTTGTCTAGGATAGGGTTAGGGTTAGGGTTGCCTGTGATTGTATCTAGTCTGGGATCATCAGGGTAAGGGTTTTGAGGGTCGTACTCCCCTGAAACTTGGGTTGGGGTGTGCCACTGGGACCTCAAAACCCTGACCCTGTTCCAGAGTGAAATCGCTGAAAACGATACAGTGTTCCAGAGTAAAATCCTGCATGAGCCTGCGTGTAGACCGAATTTTTGCCTGTCCCCGTATAGCGAATATAGGGGAGTACCCCCCTTCCCCCGGGTCTTATTATTATTCTTGTTCGGGTCCGTACAAGTATTATTTTCATATATTATGCGGGTCTAGGTTTAGAACTTAGGTTTGAGCTAAAACATTATGAATGCCAAGGACCAATGCCAATTATCCGTCAAGACTATATTTATTAAATAATTTTTTTAGCTGTACCAAACACTAGGAAAACTGATGATCCTAGTAGAAGTGTGATTGCATTGAGATGGAACACTGATTGCCATGATTCAGTTTTTGCTAACACATGTCCTGATAATGGAACTAGCACAATACCTGCAAACATGAGAATGTATTAGTAAAGAGTAACAATTCTTGAACTAGGAAAGAGTTGTACTGTTTTGAAACATCACAATTACAATAAATGATGACTACAATTAATAAATGGTCGAATGAATGAATGGATGGGTTGAATGGACAAATGGTCAAGTGAACAAACCGTACCAGAAAAGGCTCCAGCAGCATTTATTATACCTAAAAAGAGAAAGCTCATTTTATTGTACTWTACACMTCAAAATGTTCTACCACATAAMATAAAAATGAACTTACCAAATAAAGACCCTGCATATTTAGGTGCCATATCTTGAGGGGTTGTTGAAGTTCCACTATGTGCCAGACCATGAAGGCCCATTGAAATCATGATAAGTACTAGGTTTTGATTGAAGGTTTTYACCCAGTCAAATRATAACATACACAAGCAGCTTCCACACATYGAGACAGTCTGTTAAGACATTGAATAAGAGGAGGTAACTCTCATGATAGATATTACATTTTTGTAAAAAAGAAGTAGGATAGATAGATAGATAGGAAGATAGGAAAATCTTACTTGAAACAATTTTCTCACAAATGTTACAGAAAAGCCTGGAAAAGAGTTTTTAATTAAAATTAAAAATAATTCAATTCCATTTTCAAAAACATGTTACAAGACCATTAGAGTGAAGTTATTTAAACTGTGAAATACATGTTAGTAGTCACTAAATCCTTTGTTTTTTTGTGTGTCTATTTGACTATTACATGTTAACTATTAAATCTTGTTTCACTGTATAATGTCTTCACTCTGCAATGTAATGTAATGAGCAATGATCATTATAATATTCAAACTCTACCTGATGTTATCATGTAGTCTGCCACTAGTCCTGACAAAGTTGAAGATGGRAATATTACTAACCAAGGCATAACATTAAACACCCATTTCTATCACAGAACAAATTATATGCAAATTATCAACATAAAGTCTACAACAACGACATTTTTCAATATCATGCTTATGGGAAGCTAATAGCTGTGTATTATCTAAGGAAACTAATAGCTGTCAACTATAGATTCAATCTGTTGCTTCAAGTTTCCTTGACCATGACATTATTTTTGTGGGAAACTTTATATTGATGATGGAATTTCAATGAAAATCTAGACCACACTGACCAGGGTATTAATGTTGATTTCAAGGGAAACCTAATCTTCTGCAATGAATTAGTGCTCATAGAAGAACACTTTAGATCAAGATAATACCATGAAAAACTTCTTCAAAATACAAAGGTAGCCAGGAAAATAGATTCCAAAATGCTCCAGCATGTGCAAATTGACAAATGATCAGGGCCCTAGAGAATAAGTAGTGAGAAATCAAATACAGCTTAGACATCACAATAAATTTTTTAAGAGCTTTGTAGTATTTCCTGATTGGTGGAACAGTTGGAATCTTACTCAAGTTTGCAAGGGAGAGATGGACATTCCAATTCACCTCAGACAATTATTATTTAATAGATAATTACTGAGGCACGCAGCATTCGTAGGTATAATGCTGACAGCTGAGGGCGCAGCCAGAAGCTGCCTACATTATACCTATGAATGCTGTGTGCTGAAGTAATTATCTAGTATAATTACTGATATTATCAAAATCCAATTGTTTTCTTTCTAGCTTACTTGTTTATCATAGGAGCAATGCCAATAATGAAAATTTAAAGGAACTTCAAACTATTAAGACGTGAATTTATTTATCTGAACACAATAACTTAATAAACTGTCACAAAATAGCCTGAGTAGCRGCTAAAAATCAACAAAAACAACGAAGACATGCAAAATTGTGCCAAAACCATGTGAGCATGCATTGACTTTTCTAAATGGGTGCTGGGTCTTTGTAAGGACTGATAAGTAGTTTTCTAGTCCAGCAAGCCATTCTGCAATATTTTCAATATTACTGTCTGTTTTGAAACAGACAGCAATATTTTAATATTGCAGCTGGCCAACCTGTTTCTGTCTGCATTCGTTGGTCTAATGCAGAGGGAAAACAATTGGCTATGATCTATATCAGAAATTATTTACAGGTAATCTATTACAGCAATCTCACTTGATGCAAATAAGGCATAAGGGTTCCTCATAAAATGATTTTGAGTTCAACAGATGATGCACTTACCAAACTCCAACATTTTTAAAAAACAATCCATATGGTACAGAGAAAAATGAATTCTTGCGGACATTTTCTTTAAGTTTTCCAGATTTATCACTTTGACTATAAAGCATGATAGCATAATACCGCCATATCCATGCCCATAGTAGGCCAACCACACCTTGGACAAGAAAYACAGTTTGCCAGTTAGAGTTATCAAGAATAAGAGAGCCMGCACTACCCATCAATAGTGTCCTAMAATCAAGAAAATATTATATGTGAAAGAAGCACAAGATTTCCATATAAAAAACATTTCATCATCACATTACTTACCCTACATTACCAGCTGAGAATATCAACGCTGTCATGAAACTTCTCTGCTTTGATGGTATTCGTCTAACAATGATATTCGTCAGTGAAGGATAGTGAAGACCTGAAAAATTATTTATTCATTAATCCATTTTATTCCTACATCCATTCACCGATTCATCCATACATTCAGCCAATCATCCATCTATTTGTTCATCCATCCATTTGTTCATCCATCTAGTTGTTCATCCATCCATTTGTTTATCTGTCCATTTGTTCATCCATCCATTTGCTCATCCATTCATTTCTTCATCCATTCATATGTTCATCCTTCCATTTGTACATCCATCCATTTGTTCATTCATTAATTTGTTCATTCATTCATTCCTTCCTTCATTTATTTGTTTATCATCAACACACAAAAAATATATGTATGTCCATCCAATGTTTTGCATAATGTTTTGCAAGTTTAAAAACTCAAAACATGATWAAAGTTCACCATGTGTGYCACCTCATACAACAAACRAYRGATTTTASTAWYTTTCATTTAAYTTGMACMAATTACCTTGTGACAGACCTGTGCAGACTCTTGATAAAATTACTATGRCAATGGGAGGGAAAAACAACACCTGACCAGCAGGAAGAAAAGGCACAACAAACGTACATAATGACCATATTATTCCAGTATAACCTAACACTATTTCTCCTCCATAACAATCACTCAGATACCCTCCWGCRACCTGCGCTGGTGTGTAACCCCAGAAGAAAGCAGACATGACTGCACCCTGTCAAAAATGAGGCAAATGAGAATATTGTTTATATAAACAACATGGCTTTAAACCAATCGATAAAAAATCCTTYGAGATATTTAATATAAAACTGCAAGGTTGCCATTTTGGACAAATGAACAAGAGAAACTATATAATATAATAATAATAATAATGTGCAAACTATCAACATGGGAATTGAGTTATACTTACATCTGAGAATTTATCCCATTTGAGATCTCGACTCATGGCTGCAATACATAGTGGAACAGCTGAACGAGCAGAATATAACAACATTGTACCTAAAAACAWTGCTGAAATCCATAGATGTCGGCTCACACCMGTCCAGTGYTCAGCTTCTTCTTTGACATGTTTGACAACATCTTTCCCAGGCAATTTTACTTGCACTAAAGATGATGACATCTCTGTTTTGAAGGGCGATCAACTAGCTAGTACGTCGTTTACATCATACTATACATATGTACCAGCTGGTATAAACTCTAATGTGTACGTGGTCGAATGTTTTGAAGACTCCAATTGAGGTACCTGGCGACCTCAGTACACAGGAATCCCATCACAAAACTAGTACTCATGTTCTAAACAAAAATCCCTAATATTACCTTTTGTATCTACTGTTAAAATTGATTCATATAGACTAAAGTCTTGGAATTCAGAAAATTTTTATGTGCCTTTGGGAATTTTTGATGAAATAATTTGCACCCAGTACGAATTGTTTACGRACAAGWACCGGAAATGCAGCGTCCGCTGACAAGTGCAATAAGGGCTCAGGCAATGTTAAGGGGGTAGCCATTTTTGTCCGATTTCATTTCTTTTCGTCGATAGAATCGGCAAAATGGCTGGTGAAGAGAGTAATAACGAGAAAGACTCTTGTCCTCTTCAATATTGTGAATTTGATTTGGTCGATCATGCTCAATTGTGTCCTTTCTACACTTCACTTCTGACAAGGTCAGTAGATGAATCCATCGCCCTCGAGGAGCTCGACCTGCTTACTAGCGATCTAGAAACATTGCTTGCCGCATGTAATCGCCGCATGAGATTGCTTGAAGGGGAAACTAAAGTCCTCGTAGACTGGGCAGAGAAAAAGGATAAGAAAATGGTTCGCCAAAAAGAACTTGAAATATTAAATTCACTCACTTACAAGCGCAGTAAAGCGATTACTGCAGACGACAGCAGGGGGTCAAAAAAACAAAAACTMGACGATTCCAAGACTAGCTCGCAAGGAAGAAAGAAAGGTCTTGGAAAAGAGGTTGGCGTTGATGATGATACTTACTCTTTAACATCTAAAAGTAAAGCAGATGCGCCTAATAGATTCTGGGCAGCGGTTGAGCCGTATTGTTCTGATTTGACATTAGAAGATGCAAAATTCTTAGAAGATTCAATMAAATCAGCTGATAATGAAGAGGAATGGTCTAAAATTCCAACACTAGGAAAACATTACAGTGAAAAATGGGCACAAGAGGATTTAATAGAAGAACAATTAGARGGAATTAAATTGAATGAGAAACGGAGAGGTGCACTTTCTAATTCAAGTGAAAACAACAAATCTGAACAAGTTTCTGCAATACTCAAGAAGACAGAAAACTCATCTTTGCAAACAGAAGAAGATTCATGTCCATTTGGGCCATTGACCCAAAGACTAGTGTCAGCATTGATTGAAGAGAATATCATAGCACCAATGGACCAAAGCATACTTGCAAATATGAAATCAGGTGAGACTRCAGCCACAAGAAGTGGAGGTGCCACTTCAAGAACACCTGTAAAAGCCCCCCATGTTCCTCACACAAGGACTCTAGAAGCACGGATCAGAGAGGAGCTTGTATTTCAAGGTTTGATTGATGAAGATCATGGTGAAGAAGAAGATGATGAAGTGCTTTCAGAACTTAAAAAACACCAAACTGAGTTGAAAACACTTGTTTCAAAGAATAAACAAGCTAAACAAGACTTACTGAAACTTGTTCAAGATGAAATGCGCAGGCAAGAATTACGTCATCGATGCAGACTTGTTGATGCAGAAATAATGGAAAATTTTAGGAAAATATCAGCCTGCAAGCAGAAAAGGAAGTCACCAACAAAAAAGGAAAAAGAAGCAGCATGGAAAGCGCTGAGAGAAAGAGAAGCAATATATAGAGTYTTAGATAATAATTAGCTTATGGTTGACTCCATATCTATACAATGGTAGAATATAATTATCCAGGATTGATTATCAGGTCAAAATCAGTTATTTTTCTAAGACTTGTCTATATTATGCTGTGGATTATAARAAGTTGTAAAAAGTCAAAAAACACTGTAATACATAATACACTTTAATTCTATTTATTATTCTCACTTTATGTATGACCATTTGAATACCTATTTCTTACTGAATGATTGAATATCAATAAAATCACATACATGATATTGAACTTTTACATGAACTCCAGCTCCCATTAGCAGTCATACGTAAAACTTTGTCAAATAGACCTTTTGCATTAAACGGTCACTTGGTACAAAATCCACCATACTGGATGGCAATAGAATGTAAACAACCTCGAAAACAAAAGGAACGCAGCCCGTCAAACTTGACTTTTCTTTGTTTTGCACATCCCAATGGGTATTTGGCCATCCAGTATGGCTGTTTTTATACCATGTAACCGTTTCATGCAAAAGGCCTATAAGTTCATATCAACTGGAAAGGTGTAATCCATTGGTGATTATAGGCTCGCAATTATTGTTTAGCGCCGAAATTTTGAACGAGTCGCTCCTCATATGTCTTGTAACAAAAATAATGAACAGAAATAATAGCGTAACTCTTTCTACTTTTCAAGATCTGAGCCTGCATTCACTGGTATCGAACCGTCATTGTGATTGTGCAAGTGAATTAATTACTTTTCCAATTTGGCGAAAAAGGTGTGCCTAAATCGATAGTTGCCGGCTAGTTAGTGCAAGTGGCTAATCAAGGTCTAGGGGACGATTCGCTTCTCCCTCACTGGATTTTCAGAGTTAGGTCACCTATCTCGGATCAAGTGGATGGAAGAGCCGGATTTAACCGGAGAGTAAGCCAATTCGATGCCTCAGGTTAACAGAATGTTGCGGGAATCGTCCCAATCAACATCGATTTTTCTGTCATATCTCATAATAATAGTGTTTAGTTTCGAGTCCCTTTTTTATTTTACTTTCTTTTCTTATTTTTTTTATTTTTTCTCTCTTTCTGTCTCTCTTTCTTTGATAGTAGTCCATATCTTTAAGATGAATATTGGAAAATAGTATGTCTTAATATGTTTAAAGTCCAACTGAGGACGCACGGGAATTTCAAAGTCCTTATTGTAAATAATTTCAGAAAGGTTTTTGTATGTAATGAGTTATTGTTTTGATCTTTTTACAAAAATGAACATTATCACTTGTTTAATGTCTAAATTTATTTTCTTTTTTACAATTTTTCGCGCGTTTTTGATAAATCCAGTCCCCGTCCTCCTATTTCCGCTCCATGTGCCATCGTGTTGGTCACGTGCTTTTACCGAGCCCTGGACCTCCCCACAGATGGTTGCTTGGAACAAATGCTAGTGGCGGTCGCATGTCCGTCGTGAAATTTTACCTAAAATCACTCCAAAACAGGAACTTTGGCCGTAGAAGGGGCTGTACAAGCCTCCCTAGGTATATATTACCTTCAACTACTCCAAAATGAATCGAAAATTGCCAGCCGTTAAACGATAGAAGCCAAGCAAAGACGACCTATGCAAACAAGAGAGAGCACGCCATCAGGAACAAGCTCTCTAAAGGTTTGTATGTAACAGAACGCCGTTTTTTGGCCCAGTTTTCCGGCAACAGGGGTGAATTTACACCCCTATAATGCCCTATATGTAAACTTTGTTTTTTTCTCCACATATGATACCTTTTTGATGCATTTTTTCAAATCCAAAAGATAAGATCGTGGTCTTAGTGTAATATCGTCGAGTCGCTTTCAGAATCAGTGTTCCAGAATCCGYAAGGAAAAATGTGTGGTCCCTAGAGCCATCATGTGCARCCTACAAAGTGATAACTATTTAGAACTGTTTGGAGTAATTTTACAATTTCTTTTATTTAGAATCGGGCTGTGAGTTATGGAGGATGGGAATGGAAAATGTCTTTTGGATGTGATAAGGTAACTTTTATTTTTGTATTTTTCTTATAATTCTTTGAAATAAAAAAGACTAATAGAATATAGTTTAGAAATAAAGACGGTTATTGTTTGTTGGTTCATGATATTTTATGTTGCATAGTTGGAATTATGACAACAGTTATAAAGTTTATTGAATTATTAGAGATTATTAGTATTTTATTGATTGTTTACATGCTTATTTACATATTATTTTATTGAATTTATTCTATCAACAAAGTTTAATCTTCTGTATTTCTCATTGATATTCTAAATCCATTCAATTGTTATCATTTTCCAGCGATCCTTCAGCTCTGAATGAATTCTTACTGAGTAATAATCAGGTATTTACAGTAATTTTTGTTTACAATGTCATGATTTGCTGTTTGATCTTACCAGTAGTTGTGATGTAATGTTATTCTATAATTTCTAGATTTTGATCGATGGAGATCCAAGTCCACCTAAGACACAACCATTGCAGGTATAATAGATTATTGCAATATTCAACAATCTGGACAATGTCCAGACAAAATTTCTGGTAGACTGGTCAARCCAYTGTGTGAACAAATTTTTGTCGAGCTAAAAGATGCTTAGACCTTGCAAGCTTTCCCAGACATTTTGTCTGACCATTAAAATGGCGTTATTTTTGCTGTTAATGCAATGATGGACAATGACCAAAATRCAGAATATTAARTATCCAATCATATTATCAAGTAGTWTTATGCTTSTTTCAGGATGCTAATGTACAAAGGACCATTCAGGCTTTTACTTCACACTCTAACRTCCCAGCTGGAAATACAACACAACACGTAGTGAACAGTAAAACTCCTGCGTCTTTTGTAAACTCAAGTACATCACAAGCTGTGAGAAATGTAAATGGGTCGTCTTCAAATCTAACAAATTCTCCTCGACAAGTAACTATAGCCAAGTCGAGCTCACCTATAAATAACTTGACTAATGTGGCAAAGGGAATTGCAATTTCTCCTGTATCTTACCAAAGCAAAAAGCCAATACCTATCCAGCCAAAAAACCCGGTTATATTACCAAACACATCGATTCAAAGTGGTATTAATGTGCATGGTAGTGTCCATCATGTGTCTCAGACACCCACTTCATTGATGTCAAACCAGACACATACGTCAATTATRCCCAACCAGTTACAAATGACTCAGGCTGGTGTTTTATCAAGAGGTCWTGCTCAAAAAAGTATAAATGGAATAGATACATCAAAAACTAGAATAACTCCTTTACAATCAAGTAGAACTACACAACCTACTATACTTGCTRCACCTCCAAAAAGAATAGCTCCCAAAAAGGTAATCTCACCTTCAACAAATGCTTCACTTGCTATGACCTCTCCTGTCAGACTTCAACAAGCAAATATTCAAAACACACAAAATGTTCAATTAGCAACACAGTTGATTCAAGCTCCTGTTGTACCGAGCACTACAAGCAATGCAAGTAAACTTTTTCCCCAGCAACTTACTCCCGGCGTGAGACCGTTGATTAGCAGTAATCATGGCACAACTATTGCAACTTCTACGCCRCAGCCTGTGCAGCAGATTCAACAGCTAATCAATGATAAGTTGTCTGTTCAGCAAACACAGTCACCCAGCACTGGTCAAGTACAACAAAAGGTTTTTACACAAGCTCAACTTCAAACAGCTTTAAAACAAAGTCAACTTATTGCTCAAAGCTCACCTGGACAACCACAAAATATTTTAGTGCAACAACAAATATTGAAACAGTTAATTCAACAAGCACAACAGCTTCAGCAACAAAAGCAACTGGATAAAACAGTTAATGTGAATGTACAACCTATTTCTACAAATACACCAGGAGTAATTCCCTTACAACAACCAACTCAAGTGGTAAAGCAAACTGTTCAAACTACTCTACCACAGCAAGTAACAGTAGCTAATCAAATTCCTGGAAATAGTCAAATTCAAATGGTGCTACCAAATAARCAAGTTGTCACTCTTACTCCAAACACTTCAAATCAACAAACTGTGAATGTTGCTCAAAACATGCCTCAAGTAGTAAAAACAACACAAAACTTAACCAGTAAAGGGCAACCAATGATCATTGTAAGCCAAGCAGGTGGTAATTTTGTTTTACAGCAAAATGTACAGCCATCTAATGCAGGGTTAACAACCACAGCAACTGTAAATATACCCCTACAAAACATACTACAACAAAAACAACTTACTACACCTTCTATCCAACAACCAACGCAGCAACAGGTGAAGACGTCTGGTAATACTATACTTCAAGTACAACAAGCCAAACAAATAACACAACCAGCTGTCCTTGTGCAAAATCAAGGTATTCAAAGACAGACTGTTACTCCTATTAAACAGGGGAACACTCAACAAAATGTTGTTATTCAAGCAAAACCTGGTGTTATACCAACACAAGGTGGAACTACAATACAACAGTTAACACCAGCTCAGCTACAGCAGTTACAAAGCTCTGGTGGTGTTCAAAAGGTTTTGATTATTAAACAACCAGAGGTTCTTCARAAACTAACCACTGTTCAAGGAGGGAAATCTCCACAAGCAATTCAAATTACAACTCAACAACTACAAGCACTACAACAAATGCAGAATCAGCAGACTTCTACTGCTCAAAAAATTATTATTCAAAGCAAAACAGATGGAAATAATCAAGCTACAACCATAATTACAGCACAACAACTCAAGCAATTGCAGCAGAGCCTCCAGCAACAGGTTGGGGGCAACAAGATTATACAAATACCACAAAAACAGACCCTTGTACAGCAACAGAATGCCAAGACACCAGCCAAGATGGCTCATGTACCCAGGATATTACAGACGTCAGGACGGCAAGTGTCAAGTCAGGTGAGAATATACTTCTAATGATGAATATTGTTATTTCAATACCAGGAAATCATAGTAATCGTGATTTTGATCATCATTTTGAAGCAGGGTTCTCAGTAGAAGACGGCAGCCGTCAAAAATCGCCAGTTATAGTTTAGTCAATCGCCCGGTACATACAAATTTATTCGTCATTTATGACAGACGGTTGTTGATTTTGTTGTATTTGGTTGTTAATTTTTTAACCCTGTTGAAGTTAATAATATTTGTTGGTGACTGAATGATTATCAATTATCATGACAAGAATGATGATTGGTGAAATTGAATTTTTTTTGTGGTTGATTTTTCAGGGTACATCAAAGACAGTACCAGTAAAACAGGTTTGTATTCATTTTTGTCAAAATTTTGCTTTAGTATTCATTTTTGTCAAAATTTTCCCTTTAGTATAATATTGTAGCAAGGCATTCACATTGCATCTCTTTGGCATTTCTAAACTAATATAAGTATATTTGTTTGTCTAAGGAACCCAGCAGAGGTGTAAAAAGACCCCATGCAGAAACACCCGAACCTCCCAAAGTTGTAAGAAGGTAATACCCTCAAGTCAATCATGAAAATATATTATTTGTTAATAGATTKATGATTTATCGTTGGCTGAATCACTGATTAAAAAGRAGGGKCASATCCAGCTGGTGGGTGCAGGGGGGCGCTTAYCTCCCCTTAGACCTCAWTACCTTTCAATGCTTTCCCTTATTTTGTGTCTCTTTTGTTRTCTTTTTATGGGGTGCAACCCCTCCTGAGAGCCCTGTMCCACTCTCTAAAGAAGRGYCCAGATCTGTCCTTGGATGATCCAATTCTAATTGATTTCTTGTTTGTCTGCTTGATGAATGGATTGACTGATGGATGATCTGATTGTATTATTTCTTAATTTCAGACTAAAGACTGCTCTCTATCAGGACCACCAAGCTGTCACTCACCCTGATATACATACGCCATTTAAGTCCAAATTGGATGCTGTCAATAAATTACGTTCATACCATGTATATCACGACCCTGGTCAAACGCCAAATGACATACAAAAGTGTAAGTGAATGTTGTTGATAATTTCATCAAGGMTTCCACGCAWACTGTCATACTTTACCATTTTGGTCTGTCTGTCCATCAAACCCTCCCTTTCTCCATCAATCATTATTTTAAAAATCCCTATTTTTATTAACATTGAAATTTTTCATCTATTTTCTTCAGCTGAACTGCTGTTCCACACAGTATCAACACAATTAATTAAAAAGAGTGAGAAAATGATGGAAAAATACAGAAGTCTTGTCCTAGATGAAAGCATGGTGGGTATACCCTGTCAATATGTTGTATTTTGTGGTCACTCCCTTCGTATGACGGAGTTCATCCTTTAATAGTAGTGTTTGGTTCTCAGCGAAAAGAGCCTTCATCTGAAATGGTGATGCTTTACCGACTGTTTTTGGCTGATGAAAGGGCTGCTTTAGCACAAGACAAGCGCCAAATGGCAGGTATGTAGTCACTTTATTGATTCCTGAGTATTACCAGTAAAAATTGCTAATGAATTAATCTTATTTATTTTGTAGAAGAGTTAAAAGCACTAAGATCAGCTCCAAAGATTCCTCTTCCTCCTTCTACAACTATAACAAACACCACAACAAATATAGTTGAAAAACCTTTAGAAAAACCACAACCTACTATAACTAAACCTATCACACCTC